TAATTCCCTCAACATTGTCCAACTATTTACAAAGTCTGCACTACTATTACTATTAATCTTCTCATCACTCCTTATCACCCATCCCCTCCCACTTGTGACTGTATGACTGTAACTTTGTTGCTTGTATCCTTATGATTTATATTGACTGTTTCCTAGTATGGTTTGATTGCTTATTGTACCCTATGATTATCATTAAGTGTTATACCTTATGATTCTTGACTCTTGATGAATGTATCTTTTCTTTTATGTATACTGAGAGCATTTGCAACAAGACAAATTCCTTGTGTGTCCAATCACACTTGGGCAATAAAGAATTCAATTCAATTCAATTCAATTTTATTCTATTCTACCCTATCCCATCCTATCCTATCTTATCCTATCCTATTCGACTCCTAAACAATTTTGACTGGATAGATGAATAATCTGCTCGAATATAGAGTCATATGGAGGTATGATGCTACCTATGGGGAAGAAGCTGGTATACACTTGATTTGTCTTTGAAAATTCCACCTGTCAACATCAGTTTGATTATCTATATATAATACTTTGTTATTAGCTGGAAAATACTGGAGCAATAGCAATAGCACTTAGACTTATATACTGCTCCATATGGCTTTAGAGCACTTTCTAAGTAGTTTACAATGCCAGCATTTTGCCCTCAACACTTAGGTCCTCATTTTACTGACTTCGGAAGGATGAAAGGCTGAGTAAACCTTGAGCCCTATTGGGATTGAATTCCTGGCTGAGGGCAGAGTCAGCCTGTAATACTGCATTCTAAACACTGCACCATCAGGAATCTCAGACTCACCATTTTTTTTTTTTGGAAGTTCTTCTAATAGTTATCTTTATAAATAATCAGCGGGGATTAAAAGGTCACTGTTGAATGCATAATAAATTCAATTCATAAAGGGAGCAAAAATGTAAACATATCAGCCTGGTTTTATTATGCCTATCAAATAAGAAAACTGAACATGTAAGAAATAAATCTGTAAAGGAAAAGAACACAATGATATAAAAATGACACCAGTGTCTCAATCATATCAGGATCAGGAAGAGGAACTGAGAATCATCTCCATGGGAATGACTTTGATTGTAGATAAGATAAATTATTTCTAGTCTAGTGATTTACCTTAACCACTTTCCATGCTCAAATACTGGAATATATCTTTATTATTCAAACCCATATTTGAGGAGATGTACTCAAGAAGCAGGAACTACAGATTTCTTCTCCTTACATGCCGAGTACATACAGACAGGAATGGAAAGTTTGTAATCTAAGAGCAAAGAATGGGCAAGAGTATTATTGGATTTTTCTGTCTGTAAATACTGTTTGTGTGATATTTTCATGTATTCCAATGTAAGGTGTACTTTATATGATTTGGTCACTTTTTATTCTGGTTTTATTTTGATTCAATGTTTCATGCACTGCTTGATTAGCAGGCTTCTGTCTCCATTACATTTTCATTTCCTATATTTCTTGCAAGTCACATCTTTGCATTCATTATTTATTGAAAGATAGATGCACAGCAAGCAAAATCAGAGATGATAGACAAGGACTTGCTGGCAGTGACAATCCTGATAGGCTATTTTCCCCAGGGAATGATACTATGCCTTACTTACTTCTAAATAAATCAACAAAATTAATAAATCAGCACAACCTATATTAAACTATAAATCAGCAACTATAGAAATATTATGTTGACTTAAGTTTTTACTATATATCAAAAACACTTATCCATAAGCACTCACATCTGATAAGGGCCATTATTATCTCTGCATCTAGGACATCTTACCAAAATGAACATTGCTTGTGATGACAACAAAAAGGGGAAGAGCCATGTCCCCCACTAGGACAACTTACCCCAGCTGCTGCTCTAAAGCAGTGTGCCTATAAGTATTAGGTCTTGAGTCTCTCTCTCTCTCTCTCTCTCTCCCTCCCTCCCTCCCTCCCTCCCTCCCTTCCTCCCTCTCTCTGATTAGCACTATGAATGTACTGTGATTTCTTTATCATCACTTCTATATCCATGACTTTATAGGAAGGATACATGATTTGTTGCCCTTCAAATGTATCTATTAGCCAGCCAGTTTTATATAATGAAAGGCACATGGGCAGAATTATGTTGTGGCTAATCTTCTAGGATTCAAACGCCTTCACAGAGGCAAAATATCAGAGCTGAAATATCTTTTAGAAGCACTGCACAGCAATACTAGAAACGCTGCCTCCTCTCAGGAGACATTTTCTCAGAAGACAACAAGGAGAATCAGTTATGTGTGAAGACATGGAAAAAGTTTGTGGGGGGGAGGAGGAATGAAGAAAGTTATTCTAATACAGAAGGAAATAATGATTGAGGATGTTGTTTAAATCTTTGGAGGAAACGGTTGCAGCTAATAGAGTTCATAACCTTTAACTCACAAAGTGTTATTCCAAAGTAGGCAGATGAATTAGTCCAACACAGAAGGATAAGTAAATCTTAACTTGTAGAAGATTATTTCACAATTCTTAACATCTATTTTTAGGACTCTATGAACCATGTGTTGCTACATTAACTAATAAAACATATATTAATATAGTAATACTAATATATGTCCATCATTATGATAATGTGCAGCATTGCACCGTGTGTTTGTGTGAATGGAAATATATAAAATTCTAAGTACACAAGCCCCACATAAAGCAAGTTATAGAGGCGGAAAGGCTGTCCCTAAAATAACAGAACAATGGTGATTGCATTCAATAGGATGGTGTGGCTAAAATGCTAAAGTATGACTGGCCTAGCTTTGATCTATTACTCAAAACTTGTTGGAAGGTATACAAGTGTATGGGAATGGTGGTACTTGGGAGTTAATACATCAAACAAGCATCTAACCTAGTTTTTCCTGTAACTCAACCTAACCTGGCAAGGCAGATTTTGAATTACAAAAACGTGCATGAAGTTGTGTATGTGTAAACAAATGTAGCTTTTAGTTCCAGATGTAACAATACAAATTGTAAACCTCCATTTGATTCTATGTCTTTTGAATCATTGGATAAAAACAAAATACAAATACCACTGAGGTACCTTCTGGCCCTTAGCCTGACAACTCTAATATAAATAAATGTGAAATATGGATCACGGTAGTTATTTGCTTATATGTCTAATAAATATACTCTTGCTGTTTCAATACATGGAATCTACTGAAGTATAATAAATTAGATGTGTTTGTACTTCTGATTCCAGGAGCTTGAAATGGCCTCATGAATCATGAAAAACAATCCTAGCAGGAAATTTATTAATGTACAAATATTTATAGATATTTGTATTTCCTAGAAAGAAATATGAGAAATAATGATTTCAGAATTGGATTACTTGTTCAAACGTTACATACGGTATCAACAATAAAGTAGTGCAGAAAATTAAAACTACCTTGGAAGAAGGTAGGGACAAAGCATTTCCAAAATCTTCCAAAAATTTGCACTGTTGTATCCAGATCAAAATAAGTTAAATTTGACTTTTTACTGTCCATGAATAGAGCAGCAATGTGACTCAGTGGTTAAAGATGTTGGGCTTGTTGGCTGGAAAGCCAGCAACTGGGTTTGAGACCTGAGTACCATGTGATGGGTGTGAGTTCCTGTCCTCACCCCAGCACCTGCCAATCTAGAAGTTTGAAAGCATGCAAATGCGAGTAGATAAATAGGTAATGGGAAGGTAAACAGTGCTCTGTGAATTCTTGTAAGTTGTAATATATTTAATGGTCTTTATAAAACAATCTAACAAGGAATGTGGGGAAGCAATCAGTTTGCAACCTCTTTGCTGACAACAATCAGTCTAGCCACTTTATGGGCTCCATATCACTCTGGAGTCCTCTGAATCACTCTGGGGTCCTCATTGGCAGAACTGGATCTTTAGGTCTTTGCGAAAGTGTGTCAAAATGGGGGGCAATCTTATCTCCACAAGAATGATCTTATCTCCATGGGAAAAACATATCAAAATTGTTATGCAAATGCCTTTATTGTCTTGTTTATCTATCTTATAATTTTCTCTTGTTGCAGATAACAGAACTGTCCTTTTAAAAAGAAGCTGCATGGTAAAATCTTAACAATGGAAACAACCATATATCTTAGAAGTTGTGGTCAGTCACACAATATTGCCAGTGCTATGAATGGGCATTTGTGATTGTTAGTCTTGTCAGGGATACATTTCAACCTCCCCTCACCCTTCTTCTAAAATGAGTAGCAAGCAGAGATGGTCAGCTGTAATTTGAATATTGGCTGAATTGTTCACCAGTTTACTAGGTGTGCTCTATCATCACAGAATATCCATAAACACATAATACTTTCCTCAATATCCATAAACACATAATACTTTCATTGAGATTTCATAGTGTTGTTGCAAATCTAACATATTTTCAATTTCACATATGAAGTCTTCCATGGCAAAATGCCTTCTGCTTAGCAGAAATATGCACAGGGAATCAGAAGTCTTGTCAGTCATAGATGCATTTTTTTCTTTCAGAGGGCTCAAATCTTAAATCTTAAAATCTCTGCTTTTTAAATATCTCTTCTACAGGATCCTTAATAAACATATTGCTTAAAATAGGTCCACTGTCATATAATTAATTAGTTGTTATTGAAGATCTTTTAATAAAAACAATAGAAGAAACCTAAATAGTCAACATTATTTTCATATAATTTATTGTCAATGTTCTAATATATATTGATAGTTATAGGCACTCACTCATATTTAGGTTTTTTCCTACAGCTGTTAACTTTCCTGTTTATATAGGCTACCAAAGGACAATAATTCCATTAGTAGGAATCTTTATCTCGTTTTCTTTCTCTCATACATAACAGACACATGTACACACAGAGAATTATGTTGGCAATTCCTATCTGGGACCCAAGAGAATGAATTTTGCTTCATCATCAATACAAGCTGAAATAAAATGTTCTTTCATCACATCTGCATGCAAAGAATAAAAATAAAAAGGAAGTAATAAAAAAGTTGACTAACCTAACCCACCTGAGCTCGTCTCACAGGGATCAATGTCCTCATCATCGCTGGGGCATTCAGCTGAGGCCACCAAAATGTCATCTGTAGTCTGCAAATAAATAAGAGAATCCATTGGATCAATCAACTGCTCCAAGTCAGTCCTCACCTCTGTCAAGATTCTGCAGGCACAATCATAACCGATCCTAGGAAACTCATAACATTCTGTAAGATTTTTTTTTTAATGGTGATGTAAGATCTTTTTTTTATTTGAGAGCTAACAAAAGATTATGTCACAAGTCCACTGAGACATTCAGTGTTGCTCTCTATCTCTCTGACCATGACAACATCTTATTCTTGTTTCTCTTGCTCTGCACCATCTGTTTACAGCTGGAAACCTTTCGCTACTCAACAACCCTCTGGAAACCTTTTAATCAAATCTCACTTACATAACTATCTGGTTTGCCCTGACATTATTCTAATCATTCTTCCTCTCTGACCAGGAATTTGCTGATCGGAAAGTAAAATAGAATTGACTGCCTCCCCAAATTATTCCTTTTTAGCTCCTTTTTAAAAAAGCATTATTATTTTCAATAGACAATACGCTGAGATCCGAAATATCCATTAAATACTCCCAAGAATTTTTGATACCTGGAACAGATTTTTTTAGGCTTGCTCTTTGAATGCAGAATTTGAAAAGAAATCCCCATTTATAATAAGAACATGTGAAAAGAAGTCAGTTTGGTGTAAAGGTTATTGGTGCTGGACTAGCAATAACGAAATGGTGAGTGCTAATCAGTGGTGGTATTCTACTGGTTTGGCCCAGTTCTGCCGAGCTGGTAGTGCCGATGAGCAGCGGAGACCGAATCAATTCTCTCCGACACTCTGTTGTTGGCCCCACCCGCTGGCTCAGGATCCCATCCCTTTATGTCCTGCTTTTGAGGCACAGCTGCTTTGCATGGCACAGCAGATTACCATACGGCAGCTGCTGAAGCAACAGGGAGAGTGCAGAATTGCAGATGAGTCAAAAAGCCTCTGTGCCTGTGCAAAGTGTGCACTCCAACCCACGCCCACTGAACTGGTGGTAAAAAAATGTGAAACACACCACTGGTGCTATTCCTCCTTTATGTATAAAAGCTTACTGGATGTCTTTGAATCAGTCATTCTCTCACACACCAAACCCATCAATATTACAAAGTAATTGTTTTGGGAGAGATAGCAGGTGGAGATATTATATATGTCACATTTAATAATTCTGGATAAAGGTGGGATATAAATCTAAAATTTTCAGTTCAGCTGGTGGTTTTATGGAATGGTGTATAAAATCTTCCAGTCCTAGGTGTTTGCTATCTAATTACATTGTTGAGGAAACAAACTATGATAGGACAAGGAACAAAGTGAGAGGCAAAAATGACAAGGGAAAACTCTCACCTTCTGCAGTTATAGATACATTACAGCGTAATTGTTTACATATTTTTTTTCAGTAGTTAGTAAAAATTCAACTAGGTTTTTAAAAACTCATTCCTAATAACTATCCTAAAAGCTCTTCAAGATGTCAGTGCAAGTTCAGTAGATTCAGATGAGCCCTTTGGCATGTCTGTTTTGTATACACCATCATCATACAGAAGACTCTTTACAGTTAGTATGATGAGAGTCTAAAAAAATTCAGAGTAGCAAGCAACATTTGGAATACCAACCGGGTTGGCCTCAACCTAGCCCTTGAAAGGAGCCATTCCCTTCTTCAGGAGATCTTGCTCTCCATCTCCCAAAATGAAGGGCTATTAATAGTCTCTCATATAAAGAATGCATTGGATAGATTGATTGCACTTGGAGAAAATGGTCCTGGAGACACTTGGGAGCTAAGCCGTATATGGCTTTATGGATTAAAAACAGCACTTTAAATTAAATCTGGAAACTTGTTAGAACCCAGTACATATTCGCTTACATGTTCTCTATTGATGATATTGATCTCAACCTGTATGAATGACCTGTCTTGGTAGCTTCACGTAAACAATGAAATGGGCAGGGGGAATAATTCTGGGACATCACACAGATAGACTTTTTTGAGCCAATCCTTTCCCATAAGCATTGACAGGAACTAAGAAAAAAGAAGACTCATTTCTAAAACAGTGTTTGACTCCCAAACCTTACAGGCAATTCCCCAAATTATAATGGTTGATAATCCTGAAATGCACTCCCTAACTCATGTCCTGAAGCAGCCCTTCACCAAATGATCAATGCTGTTCCTATCCCATGCTTTAACGGGAAAAATATTTCTAACTAGCAACTGCCTCTACTGTGTTTTATCTACTTGTGTTCAGACGAGTAATCTGAAAAAAATAAACTAATGGCAAAATACTATAACAGTTTTTTGATTATTTATTTAGTGTATGATTACAAGAAATGGACTAGCAGCATATGTTAACATTTCACCCAGATTAGTAAAACACAATAAAATATAAATATTAAAAAATCCATGCTCAAATACCAATGTCTAGGACATCTAACTATTGAAGTGCAGCATCGTTTATATTTTTAAAAAATCAGATACTGGACTGGTATATGTCCTCAGCTTTTTCTTACTGAATAACTTTTATATACATTTTTAGAATGTGTGTTCTTTAGACTAGTTTCAAATCTGTAACATCCCTAACATATATAGTATGTGTATTGCATACGTATGTAGTTAGTTGTCCACACAAGAGATCCGAATTTGAGTAGTAGCTCGGCATTTTCAAAATTCATAATCTACAAGACCTTAGAAGCAGAGAGAAAATAAAGAGGTTGTTGAGAATTGTTATTCATAAAATAGTGATAATCCAAGACTAAATGAACTAACAATCTAATTAAGTACAAGGCTGTTTTATATTACATTTTACCTGTGGTATAAAAAGAAGTTGCAGATATACAGGTGAAACTCAAAAAATTAGAATATCGTGCAAAAGTTCATTTATTTCAGTAATACAACTTAAAAGGTGAACCTAATATATGAGATAGACTTGTTACATGCAAAGCAAGATAGTTCAAGCCGTGATGTGTCATAATTGATATGATTATGGCTTATAGCTCATGAAAACCCCAAATCCACAATCTCAGAAAATTAGAATATTGTGAAAAGGTTCAATATTCTAGGCTCAAAGTGTCCCATTCTAATCAGCTAACTAACACCTACAAAGGGTTCCTGCGCCTTTAAATTGTCTCTCAGTTTGGTTCATTAGGAAGCACAATCATGGGAAAGACTGCTGATCTGACAATTGTGCAGAAAACCATCATTGACACCCTCCATAAGGAGGGAAAGCCTCAAAGGTAATTGCAAAAGAAGTTGGATGTTCCCAAAGTGCTGTATCAAAGCACATTAATAGAAAGTTATGTGGAAGGGAAAAATGTGGAAGAAAAAGGTGCACAAGCAGCAGGGATGACCGCAGCCTGGAGAGGATTGTCAGGAAAAGGCCATTCAAAAGTGTTGGGGTCTTTCACAAGGAGTGGAGTGAAGGTGCATCAAGAGCTACCACACACAGATGGATCCTGGACATGGGCTTCAAATATTGTATTCCTCTTGTCAAGCCGTTTCTGAACAACCAACGTCAGAAGTGTCTTACCTGGGCTAAAGAAAAACAGAACTGGTCTGTTGCTCAGTGGTCCAAAGTCCTCTTTTCTGATGAGAGCAACTTTTGCATCTCATTTGGAAACCAAGGACCCAGAGTCTGGAGGAAGAATGGAGAAGCACACTGCAAGATGCTTGAAGTCCAGTGTGAAGTTTCCATGGTCTGTGTTGATTTGGGGAGCCATGTCATCTGCTGGTGTTGGTCCACTGTGTTTCATTAAGTCCAGGGTCAACGCAGCTGTCTACCAGGAGATTTTGGAGCACTTCATGCTTCCTTCCACAGACGAGCTTTATGGGGATGCTGACTTCATTTTTCCGCAGGACTTGGCACCTGCCCACACTGCCAAAAGCACCAAAACCTGGTTCAATGACCATGGGATTACTGTGCTTGATTGGCCAGCAAACTCGCCTGACCTGAACCCCATAAAGAATCTATGGAGTATTGCCAAGAGAAAGATGAGAGACATGAGACTGAACAATGCAGAAGAGCTGAAGGCCACTATTGAAACATCCTGGTCTTCCATAACACCTCAGTAGGGCCACAGGCTGATATCTTCCATGCCACACTGCATTGAGGCAGTAATTGCTGCAAAAGGGGCCCAAACCAAGTATTGAGTACATATGCATGCTTATACTTTTCAGAGGTCCGATATTGTTCTTTGTACAATCCTTGTTTTATTGATTGCATGTAATATTCTAATTTTCTGAAATTGTGGATTTGGGGTTTTCATGAGCTGTAAGCCATAATCATCACAATTATGACAAATCACAGCTTGAACTATCTTGCTTTGCATGTAATGAGTCTTATCTCATACAGTAGTTTCACCTTTTAAGTTGCATTACTGAAATAAATGAACTTTTGCACAATATTCCAATTTTTCGAGTCTTACCTTTATCTGATTTCTGTTCTATCTTTCTAGCCACCACAGAGAAAACCAAATGAACACTATTCAGCTTCATGATATAGCACAGAGTAGCATTTGCTAGGGCTTCAATTTTGTCCTCTTTAATTGGAAGGTAAAAAATGGATGAAATATCTCTTTGGCAAAAATGAATGCTAGTCATTTTCAGTAGCAATCATGATAAACACTCCTAATTTGCAAGGGCAGCTGCTCAGAGAGTTTTCATTAACAGCAGATTTAAAAGCTCTCCCCTTTCCAGCTCTGTGTAGTGGATTGAATTACCGATTGACAGAATCACGGTGATATATTCATAAATTAAGATATCTCTTAGCTGAATGGTAAACATTATGTAGTATTTGTCTTTAATTCAATTAGATTTATTTTTCTTTTAAAAGGTAGTGTTTAGAAGTGGTGTATCACACTGTTTTCCTGTGTGGTCCAATAAGGAACACATTGTCCTAATTTAGATACCACAACACAATACAATTTTGCAGTAATTGAAAATTACATGTTTTTAAAATATTTACAACCAAACTGTCCCTGCAGGAATCCTACATACAAGAATCCTAGATGTGTACTGCAGTTGTCAAAAGAGCCAATGCAATC